CAACTCGGTTTTTATGCAGTTTATACTACTCTATGGAGAAGAAATGAGATCGGAGTTTCCCACTATAATACAATTCATTTTTTATACGGTTTATACTACCTACCGGAGAGAAAATTTCACCAATCTCGTGTTGTCGTTGATTTGATGATGAAATGTGACTTGCGACTTGCGACTTTTTTTTACACATCAGAAAAAGAAACTCACAAGAAAATGTGACATTGATTTACTTCATCACTTACTGTGTCGTTAAACTACCAGGAGCAACGCACTCTGGACGAAATCGATCAAAGTATAGATAGTTTGATTTTAGCTCTCATCACTCAAGCTTGCAATGAATGCAGGCTTAGTCAATGGTTTGATAAGGAACTTGTGTGGCCGAAGGTATGTCACAGCAGATATGGAAGAAGACTGTCGTATGTAAATCAGGTAACGGCATTTACGTATGTAAAATGTCCCTGAAATTTCTTACTAAAGACCCCCAAAATAAAAACCAACTCTTTAACCATTCAAATATTTGTACTGCTACCAAACGCTACCATACGCTACCATAACTCTTTAAGCTCACATTGCTCTATGACTTTTCACTCACAACTATGCTCCAGTCTCACCTATTCGCTAATGCTAAGAAGACATTCAAAGTTTCCGGAACCACTATTATTATGTTCTGTAAGTCAATACGACGACGCATGCTTTGTATTAAGCTTAGAAAAATATTTGCTCAGACCCACGAATAGAAAACAGTCTTATAAGCTAAAAATTCCAAGTATGATAAAAATCGTATAATTTTGGGAAATTTACATAATGACGGAATTTACATAGCAGACTTTACATAAAACGCATGTGTTGTTATATTGACTTACTGGACATAGTAATAGTGATCTGAAACTCTGAATGTCTTCTAGTATGGTAAAACTGTTTAATTTTTGAGTTTGATGATAAACTGGAGTAAGCAATAATAGTAAGATCAGCAGGCGTAGTGCAAGTCAAAAGCATAGGGGAGCTTAAAGACTAAGACGTTATGTTATGTCTATTAAAAATAGCAAAGTGTAATGCTTGGTAACAATAACTAAATACAGCTTGTTCTTTACCGACGGATTTAAAGGCAGTTTTTATTTTAGGGACCTTGGTAAGAAATTTGGGGACATTCGACGGGATTTACATGGTCACGGGATTTACTTACAAAATATCGATTTAAAGCCTCAACGAGCAAATTTTATTAATTGCCATTCTTTCCCATTGATTTCAATAACCAATTGACACAAAGTTATTAGGAATATTATTCCACTCCACCATATACTCATTACAGCGTACAACACCTCATATTTTCGCCGGAAAATAAACAACTGCAAATCAACTATAAACGATAATTCCAGAAGTCAATTCTCCGAAAGAGCAATCTGTGCATCAAAATTCTAACAATAAATGTCATTCTATTCCGCCATTTCCCAAATTTTGTGACATTTTTTTTCCCCATTAAATATTAACATCAAGTAAAGACAAGATGTTTGGTGTCCTTTTCGTACAATTTCTTTATATCCGCTTGAGTTAAGTAAGACTTAAAAAACGATAACACTTTGAGACTGGAGCCTGCATATTTTTCTCAGTAAAATCGAAAGTCTACTGTTCAACAGTGACTGAAAATTTCGTAATTCAAAACATTTGCGTCTCCATATATATTGCTCTAGTCGCATTATTATTCACCTGGTTTTTTCAACCATTTCCACACTTGTATCCCGACGTGCTGTTTTCTTTTACCCCCAAAACGGAATAAACTTATTCTTGTTATTTTGCGCAAGTGATGACATTTAGGAAGTATAAGTCTAGGACACAAATATAAACAGAAGCAAAATACATTGCACCCACACCTTCTCTTGGGATTTTACCAAACAGTAAAACGTACAATATTTCCTCTTTCTTGCAAGTAGCAGCAATATCAGCTTTGATTCTGATGTGGGAGTGGTTGTTAGTGATGGGTGATTAACATAGTGTGTCACCCACTTGCAGAAAATTTCGCATTGCTCATCTCTGTTGATATTTTTTATCAGCTCTTACACTTTTGCAATCAGCAGTTAATTTCGATTGTATTGGTGCAGTCTTTGAACAATGCAAACATGGAATGTAGAGTAGAGAATAAGAGAATAACGGGGCTTCAGTAAATGCCATGGTCATGGCAGTTTAAATTATTATTATTGTATTTCGCTTTTTTTTATTTGGAGCTGGAAAATGCTTACTTTGTAAGTTTGACTGCAAGATATAATTCACATTTTATTTTACCCCTAATGTGAAGCTTTCTAAAGGAAATATATTAACTGTCAGCTGCACTAAAACTCCATGCCTAATTATGAAGTTATTACTATTACTTAACCATTCCAGCAAATATTACACAGTTTGTCCATCCACTTCCTGCCACTTCCCAATAGCACAAAACGCCGAAAATAAAAAATAAGCAAATTATATAAAAAATGTGTATAAAAAATACGGTCCCTCTCCCTGATGTCATCCTTGAGCTTCTCTCACCACTTTTCCAACTTAGACTTCCTCTCCTCTTCCTCCTTTGCTGTGAGTTCTTTACCTTGCAATACTTTATCCAACAGTATATCCAGTATTAAGTATTTTTCTTGATTCAGACAATTCATAAACTTATTGATAGTACAATGTTTGCTTTGGCAAAAAAAAATAAATTTTTTTCTGATACAGTTTGTATAATTTTTTGGTACTTTTGCAGAATTGTTGCTTTTCAGCTTGTATAATGTTTTGTTAATATCTTATATTATTTCAATCAAGTCTTTCTGCTTCTTCCAACAACAAATTTTTATGTTGTTTTTTTTTTTTAAATTTCCAATATTTTTTTCAATTTTCTTTGACTAAATAATTTTAACTTCTGAAAAACAACACTCTAAAAGCCATATCCTGACAAATTACTACAAAGTTTTTATTCTTTGTCAACTCCCTAATTAGCTCACAAATTATTTGTCTTAACTCTTGAATCAGAAAAAAAGGTTTTTCCAAAAAATAGTACTTATAGTAGAACGATCTACACCAGATTTATTAGCTAACTTTTCATTGCTCAGCTGGTGTTAGCTTCTTTCCTTCAAATTTTGTCCTCAAATAATGTTGTGTTTTTTTTGTCTTTTTTATTACGTTTTTGCTCTGTCGTGTAGTGTTTAACCACGGGACAATTAACTCTCAGGGGAAATAATTAAGCCAGTGAGCTCATCGAGTTGGAAGATTATGACAACCAACTGACACATAATATATAGAGTAAGAGGCGGCCAGAGCCAGGTACTTTATACCAAGTGACAAGGTATGCATTGAAGTAAAAGGGAGAAGCAATCAATTCACTGCTGGAGGAATTTAGGTGTGAAGACATCTTTTTGTGATGGGTATCCAATGAACGCGTAGACAGTAATAATACTGGGGTAGTTTATTAAAAAGCTATTAATTGCTGATCATTCGTTCGATGCGACATCTTCAAATTCAATCTGCTCAGAAAAAGTAGGTACGCACGTCAAATTGAAACTACCTAAATTCGATCTTCTTAACAACAAAAAAATGGAGCATTTTTATTGACATTAGTATTAGTTTATCTGTACAAAACCTCTTTTACGAACAATTTTCTAATTATTTTGTAGCAAAGAAAAAAAGTGGAAAAGTATCTATCATTAAAGTTTTAAGGCTATAACCCATGTCCTTGAAAAGCTTTGACGTTTTGAAGTTTATACATCTTACTATTGCGAGTATAACATACTTCAAAGTTAACACAATATGACATTTTTATTAAAAATATCTACAACAGATAATTAATTAACAGTTTGCAGCGTTAAACATATTAATATAGGGATTATACCGTTTATTAACACAATCAGCAATTGAACGATACGTAGGGTTAATGATCGGGACTATATTGACCGACTCGTGAATACGCTTACGTGACTATGTATACTGCTACGATTGAAGGAATATTTACCGTAGACCGCTGACTAAAGTACCCTGGGTTATTTTACATTCACACTTCTTAGAGTGGTATTTTACTTAGGGAAATACTTTGGCAACTCCATAGCGTTTAGGTAATACATTCTATATAAATAAAGACTTGTTACGCATAACAGATTCGTGTTCTCTTCTACTATGGTTTCGCTAACAAACCCACAAGCTGTTTCCGTATCACTAAAAAGTTTGCAGAAAATGGACAGCAAGGGAAAACTTATTGTCACTTATTACTATTGTTGTTATCACTTTATTCGAGAAACAGCGAATAGAACCAAAGCAAGTAAGAGACTGATATGCTTAAATATCATGTGTACTACTCTTCAAATGCACACTATTCATATCGATATGTCAATATATTATTTATCACGCAACAACGTAATATTTGATTTGCATAGTACCGGGTATTTTACAATTTTTTCGGCCTAACCTGCTGCGGGATACTTTAGTCAATGGTCTACGGTAGTTAGTCCGTCAGGTGATATAAAACGATTTTGTTGGCGAATCCAAATTGTAGGCAAAATTTGCCGAAAATACAGTTTAAGGGATAGCTACAATCAAAGCTCGGAAAACCGATAGCAGTGTTTTGCTTTTTTCTATCGGTTTTGCGCAATGTTATAAAATGTCAGTTGTCCGAGCAAATTTTGTTATAACACGTACGTGTTTTGGGAATTAGAAAAATTATCAGTTTTAGCATTTTTTCCGAGCTTTGACTGTAATTGTTTATGAAGGCAGAGTAATATAAGCAGGACGGGCATTACAAAGCTTTGAAATTGTACAAGCATTTTTACTACTGCAATGCGATTTGAACTAATAAATGAATAAGGTATCAGAGTCACGTGAATTTCGGTGCATTTAGGGGCTGCTAAACTAATTCTATCGGAAATTGTTTACTCCAATAATTTCCTTATCAGGGAACCCCCCTAATATAATGTGCCCTGATGTTCATTCAACGCGCGCGTATCTCTCCACGTGTTCGCACATTCAGTCATTCAGCACCTACGGGATATAACATGTCGTTCGAATTCAACGGTAAGTGACACAGCTAGTCGACCGATTCCTACTCCATGTCGCCATCCGAGCCCACTTCGAAGAAACTCGATCGATTCCTGCTGACTCCATTCTGACAGATGCCGCCGTCCGATCCTACTTCAAAGAAACCAGCCCAAACCTATGGTCCTACTCTGATTTTCTCGAGAAGGTAGTGAAGCCCATCAGCCATACCTTATACGACCGTGACCCTATTAAAGCCAACAGGGTTTGGAAGAAAAGGTTTATTAGTGCTATCAAGGACATTGCCGATAAATAAGTTTTAGTTGCCCGACAACGCGCCGCAGTCAAAATGTTAAAAACAGGTAATAGTAAGCTTCGTTAATTATTACCCCATCACATGAAGGGAGCTGCATCCACAGCGCCGTTTCGACCCGTGCTGATGGAATGGCGTGTCGTTCCCCAGCAGCCTCACTTCTTCACGCATGAAAGCTTACCACACCCTAGCAGCCGTGTCGTCCCGCTGCTGGGACATGGCGTGTCGTTCCCCCGTGGTCTGTTGTCTTGCGTGGGTTGGGTTAATGTGACAGTAGATTCTGTCACTACGTTTAAATGATCTTTTTAGCCGATAACTATAATAATGATCAGGGCGCCTATTTTTGGAAGGAAATGTTCGAAAATAATAAACTCCAAGAAGAACGCGTGAGTTCCTTAATTCATATCTATTACATAGACTGATTAATGTCACCTATTTTCGTCATCTGATTATGGAACTTTTATTATCAACCTAGGTTGCACTGAAACGCAAAGCTGATGGGACTGCCTTGGAATTAGCATCTACGTCACTAGATTATGAGAAAAAAAAGGTCTTAGATCTTTACAAAGAACATCCCTCCTTCAAAAAAGATACACTCACGATATGTAAGCTTTTGCATTGCATTTGTAAGAAATCAAGGAGTTGAGATCACAATCCAATTTTAATTTTTAGGATGATGGTGAATATTTACAACAGACAGTGCTTGGCTATTCAGGTGCTATCACTCCACCTTCTCAGATAGAATGTAATCACTCATATCAACGACAACGTAGACCAGGTCAAGTACATGGTATATGGTAAATTAATAAATGATTGATTAATACATGTTTCAACTGACATAAAGTTTCTATAATCAAGGCAATAGATTTAAGCCTTTTGATCCATTCGGATCAGACAAGGAAGATGATAGTGAGGATGTATCTGCAGAAATTGACCGTGAAGATGATAGTGAAGACAGTGAGGATGATTTAATTGATGAGCATATAATACACCCTAAAACAACTTCTTTTGATGAATACGTAAAGGTTCATAAAGAATCTGGTTGGACCTTGGAAGATGGTCGTCAGGTCATTGATGTAATCACACAAAATACTACTAAATTGGCAGAATCAGTCTCTAAAAAAAGCAAGAAGGAGCGAAGCCCAATTATAATGAGTGTTATTCGGTTAGAATTTACATCATTATTAACATGATATGCATAAAGTGATTTGCTAACATGAAATATAGTTTAGGGTTCTCTTCAATCGTGGATTTGTCCTTAGAATATCAAGAACGAATGTATTCATGGTTTGGGGATGAGTGGAGTAGTTTAAAGGAAAAAGTATACAATACAGTCAATATGATCCCGAATTCTTTCGACGGAGAAATCAAACCGATTATTGATACTGTTGAAAAAGTAAGTGTAGATTCATAGACTCTTTCACATACTGTGTTATCCCCATTGCTTTAAACACCTTTTTCACTCTTAGATGTGTGATTCATATCAGTATGTTGATGCACGAGCCTATTTGTTTAAGATGCGATCTGAGAAGAGCCCCCCGATGGTTCAACAAATCGCAACTATCTATTTTCGCGTGTATGTACTTTTTTTTATTATTATTTTGTATTTCTCTTATGTCAGCCAGCAAAACGTTGACTGCTAAATTTTTGTTAGGATTGACAAATTCCTTGACAATCCACACATTTTCGTGGAGGAAACTGGAAAGCAAACAGATCTTAGTGAAATGGAATATGCAATAAATATGACAGCCCCGATCCTTAATGACATCTTCAATGATGTCTTGGATATCTTGAAGCTTCGTTGGTAAGATTATTCCGTATTGTCTATACCATAGTAGTATGAACAATGAACAATGACTAATAAATAGCAAATGTTTGTGATGCAGGGGAGTAACTTTATCCACTGCTAATACTGAGAGAAGGCGAAAGATTGACCTAAGGATAGTTCACAGATACAAAGATATTGAATTAAGTCATTCCGAGTGTGCCAAGGCACCCACACCTGTCAAGGCAATCCGTGACCGCTCAAAATGTCTGAGAACTGCGAAAACTGTACTGGATAGATTTCTTGAAGAAGATCTATCGGACGATGCAGTAAAAGATTCAACCATCTTGGCTATACAATTTGCCGGTCAGTGTTTCATATTGATCATGTTTGCGTATTAAAAATGAATATAACTGATATTGATGGTCACCTAAAGGCCTGCATGGTCAGATAATCGGCATTGATCTTCTAGACGATGGTGGCCTTGAAGGATCTCGTTTCAGTTTTCCTGCGCAACTGTCGAATATCAAGTGTCTCTGAAATGCACTTGAAGCACTATTCTTCTTCAAGGTAAGAAATCGACTTTTTATCATTAATATTAAACAGCTGTTTACGTTATAAATGATTTCATTTTTGGCTTGGGACAATATTGTTCGAAAAGCAAACCTCTTTCCGGATCCAAAAAACCACAACCATGCATACAACAAGATATTTCACAACAGCCTGGAATCTAAAGTCAAAGCAAAGCATTTTAAAACGAAGTTCATTAGGAAAACGTATTTCACGCCTAAGGGGGATTAGCGTTCATATGCACGTGATATCTGAATATTTGAAGTGTTAAGAAACATAGATCGAAGTTGTCAATTTTTTTTGTAATCGCCAAATCATATGATTGGTAAAAATTGTCCATTCTGCTTAACTCTCATGCAATAAATGAATTATTTGGCCGTTGTTCAATAAATTCGTCGTTGTTTTAAGGGCGGTCACAAACGAAATCTTTTCACTAGCCTCAACGTCATTATTACAATAATTTGCATCTTGCTCATTACTCAATAACTGTCATCATCATTTACCATATCAGCAATTGCAATTGACTCGTCACAACAAATAGGTTCTTTGATTTAACAAATTCAATAAATCAATATTGCGTATCGTTAGTTTCTCATACTTTCAGCAGTCGTGTTACTTTCATATTGAAAAGACTATCTATTGTATCTTGTTCCATTTCTGTGTGGTATTGCAAGTTAAAAACGGAGATATTTTCATCTGAATTCGTAATCGAAAGGACGCATTCCGTCATTACTGTGTAAGGGTCAAATAAGAGAGTTTTTGTTATTCAATAACTAACAGCTATGTAAAAAAAGAGGAAGCGACTGAGTATACATATAGTAGACACGTGTATGACACTTGTAGGTACTACTTGATTATTGATTGCTTATGCACGTAATCGTATGTGTTCCCAGACCTTTTAAACGTATTCTATTTGACAATTGTTCTTTATTCCAAACATTAGCCTTGTTTAAATACACAACAGAAAAAATTATTCCTCCTCGCGCTCCATTTATATTACCCATAATAACGGGCAATCGGCAAAGTAATTATGTATAGGCAATTCTAAATAGACGTTCAAAAAGCGCAACGTCAGTAATCAATAAGCAGATAATGTACAAGGTACAAGCGCGAAATTAATTGATATCAATCGAATTCATTGACTTTTCGTATATTTAACTGTAAATTACGGCATACTTAATAACAAAACTGTGCAAACTTGCCACATTTACTCTTTTATCTCAGACGTTTATTAAGAGAGTTATGTAGTAGTAAGGTTATGAAGGCCTTTGTTTTATTTGAATATTCAGAATAAGTAGACTTTTTTCATTCTGCATTCTCATTTGCGATAATTACCCAATAGCGATAGGTACAGCAATAACTAAATAAGATACATGTCAAACGTTATTTAGGGGTCTACCGCTTATCATAAATATTTAGGAATTTTTAATGGTGAAAAAAAAAAATAAGGAGGTCGGGGAGGGGGACCCGTGACAAACTTTCTAAAACGGCGTTCATTATCTGTAAAAACTTTGTACTGTGTACCGCTTACATGATCACTACACGAGTAGCACAAACGCTCAGGTTTATGAATTAAGACCTGTTTGATAGACTTTCCAACCGGAATAATACCGGAATGTTATTATTATGTCTTATCTCTTTTCTTGGCACATCTGATGAGAACCCCAAAAGTACGTGTAACAATGCATATCACGCAATGCGTACATTATGCATGAGAACTCGCGCAGATCTGGGGGCAGTTTAATATTAGTGTGAGACTTGGACATGAGACCAATAAACAGTCCAATGCAATGCATGCATGCATACATTAGAGAGCAGTTACATTGTGTGTGGCTGAGCTAAATTAACATATCGTAAACGAAACACACAATAACTGATTACAACGATGGTAATGAAAATAATTATTTAATAATGATGGGTGTTTTTCTATTATTACGTCCATACATTATCAAGAGCGAGTCACTCCTTTACCCTTTTTTTTTACCAACAAATAATGTAGATATCGCGCATAGTACAGAGCGAAACATCTATACAGAGTTTTCTGTGTCTATATGCATTAAACCGGTTTTCTGCTTTACGTTTGTTTAACTTGATTTTTAAGCTTTCTTAAAATTCTGGATTTTTTTCCTACTTTTGGTAATCAGGGGACATGTCACACAGGGGACTACCCTGACCATGACACCAATAACTAATAACGTCTATCGGAAATGTGCATACATATTACGTGATAATATTCCCGGTCATGGAACATTCCGTGCATGAAAGAGGACAATAGTGAAGATAATTTTATTGACATATGACATGGGCTATGCTGGTCCATGTTTTGTGGCTAAATTGGGGGGGGGGGGGAGCGGAAATAACGAAATGAGGGACTGCGCTGATAAGAAATAAACAACTACGTCGTTTCGACCGAGGGACCAAAGAGGGCGTTCGCTATAACCATCAATCATACTATTGTTTATTGCGAGTGTAGGAGACATCCAATTAAATAATATCATGTTTGACAATCAAAAACTGATGCGATTTTCGAAATTAGAAAATGATTAGTAGTTAGTGAATTTTATGTATTTCTCTAACAAACGATTCTAGTGAAAGATTCTAAGTATTAGTCGACTTCATTAAAATTAGTAAATTAAGCAAGCAAAACCAACGATTATTATATAGCATAGACTTTTCGTTAATGATCTATGCCCAACGTTAAAACTATATCAAGACATTATCACAAAGCAAACGATTTTTTACGTCAAATTATGTATAGAATGAAATTATATAATCTAGTTAGTACGTTGCGCGTGTGTGCGTTGACGACGCATTGACAGCGTTCCTTTTTTTTCAAAGGATCTTTTTTCTCTTATAAAAGAGTATAAGAGCTATCTTAATAAATCTTTATTTGAGAAAAAGCTGCAGATTAAATTTTGTAAAAAGGAAAATAATATTTCCTCTATAGTTATACATTATAATATATTTAATAAAACGACTTATTTGCTTTCCTTGTTCGCCTGAACAACGAGCACACTAGCTTGTATACCACCACCAAGCATAGCAGCTGCCATCTCTCCAAGACTTCTACGTATATCATTACCACCAATTCCCATGCGCCTAATCATTTCCATCCACTCGTCTCGATGACTATACGAGATGTTGCGCTGGCCGCGTCCAACAACAACCAAATCTTTTCTTCCAACCAAATCTTTAGCTTGCTGCACCGCCGTTTGCATAGGGGTAGACGTCTTCAATTCGCTATATTTGACGCGTTGGTGGTTTGTAAGTTTACCACGAGGACCGAAATACTTGTTCACATGCAGTTCATCAGCAGCGTTGGATGCCATTCGGTCAACAGTGGAATAGTTAACCACAGCGATCGAAGCAGATGAGACCGGGTTGATCGTCGTAGAAACTGGAGGTCTCTGGGGCGTAATATTTCCATCGTCGTCTTTCCCAAGTACTGCAGGTATAGGCTCCAATTGCGTGTCGTTATCGGTTGGTTCTTCTGACTTGATTATTCTTAAAATAGTCGCCTCAACGTATGGGCTTTCCAAAAATCGAGCAACCAAAGCCAATGCTTCACGATCATCAGCGCCAGCAACAAATGGTACAAACAAGGAAATCTTAATTTCCGGTTTCCCCGTCACTGGAGCTCCTCCTGGAACCATTCCTAGGCCGCGATCGACGAAAGCTGTTACGATTGTGTTCTCGGTGGCATTGAATACTTCTTGGACATATTGGGCTACTTGCGGATTAGTATCGGAATATTCTCGAGGTTTGTAAAAGTCTTCAGGGTTATCATAAGCGATCGATCCAGCCCCACTCCAGGGTACTATAATAAGTTCAGCTGATGATTTAGAGGCACTCTGCAACACTTGTTCAGCAAATTTCTGAACTGGTGTGATATGTAGGGTGGATTCGACGTTGAAAATATTTTGTTCCCCAAAGATGCGGAATACATTCATAATGGGATCATGGTGGGCGATTTCTGCAGATTCGTGAGATTTCATGATTTCGGACATGCGCTGTCCTAGTTCCATGAGACGGAGAGCGTGCACGGTTACCACTCTATGATCGGTGATTTGTTTAGCCGCGGCTTTCTCGTCACTAGAGACAGACGTATTGTCGGCGGTTGACGTATCAGATTGGATCGGTTGGAGGAGTCTGATTAAAGACATCATGGGCGATATGTATTCCACTTTGTTTAATACAACAAGGATGTTGTTCTTGTTCTTAGGTTCGGTTGCTTGGTATGAAACGGATTCTTCCTCATCCTTGGATTTCCTTCGAAGTAATAGTCTTCTCTGACTATCAAGTTTAAGGTCATCCGCGCCTATCCAGATTGCCAGAGGAGTCGTGGCGCAAGTAGTGACAATGGCCCTGTTTGTCAAGTGAAATTGATATATAAGTAAATCCGTATATACACGTTTTTAACACTACACAGAACGTCTTAACCTTATGTACTTACATCACTACTAGAATGGCAAAGACCTTGGCGTCGATAACTTTGGCAGACAAACCGATGTTGAGAACGATCAGTTCGACAAGTCTGTTGGTAGAATGACATTGCGCGTTAGATGGAATGAATGATGTCAAAGTCATTATTATTGTTCTCTGGGCTATGTGCTTACCCTTTGCAACTCATGAATACACCGACGGTAAGCGCTTCTTTCCATGGAATGCCATATGCTCTAGCTACTATAGTGCATCCAGATATCTTGCCAAACATGGCTACAAATATGACCAAGAAGACATAACCCCAGGCAGCGCCAGTGTTTAACAAGCCAATTTGAGTTTTGAGACCAGAGATCGCAAAGAACTAAATTTAGTCCAAAGAAATTAATTAGCACACACCACGGTGGATGGATTCTATCGACTTTTATAAAGATAATGGTATCAATAAAACTTACGACTGGCAGGAACAGAATACTAATAAGATCTTCGATTTTTTCAGTGATTCCGAGAGCAAATCCATCAGAGTGAGGAATTATAACTCCAACCATAAAAGCACCAAAGATGGCGTGGACACCAATAATATCAGTAATAAACGCCGATACCAATACCAAGAAAAGAGTAAAAGCCATCATTGAGACTGTTGGACCGTTTATATGGCTGTTGGTTTTGATAATAAGCTTCAATAGCAATGGTCTCACGAGGAAGACCAAGATAAGACCCCATGCGATAGCGAGAAGGAAGACGTAGAGGGCAGTAAGAGAACTCGAGGCGTTGACAATTGTCACGACAAGAGCCAAGAGAACCCAAGCGGTGATATCGTCACCGACGGCCGCGCAGAGAGCAGTTGAGCCGACTCGCGTTTGAGTGAGTTTGAGTTCAGTGACAATACGGGCAAGTACGGGAAATGCCTGCGAATTTGAAGGAAAAAAAAAATAATGAATTACATGATATCTCTCCCAAAAATGTGATATTTATCATAATGTTTTTTACTAACCGTGATTGATATGGCCACACCCATAAATAACAGAAAAGTACCGAATGCAATGTGTATATCGGGATGATTAATCTGATATAATCCGTAACTGACGGCAATACCCAAACCAAAGGGCAAAGCCATGCCAATTGCCGAGATGCTTATGGATAGTTTTGCCTGTTTCAATACCATTCTGGGATCCAACTCGACGCCAACCAAGAACAAATACAGGACCAAACCAATATTTGCGATTAAATTCAGCTGGGGAAGAGATGCCGTGGGGAATATTGCGTCTGTGAATCCGGGGATTCGTCCAAGGACAGATGGGCCAAGTATGATACCACCGAGAACTTCAGAAATCACACGCGGTTGTAGCAGTTTTGACAATATTAGATCGAGACCGCGGACGAAGACGATGATAAGAAGAACCTGGCCAGAGAGAGAGAGAGAGAGGAAGGAAGGAAATTATGGAGAGATGGAATTGAAGGTGAATAAGAAAGGGGGTTGTCAATTAGCGATATTTCGTTAATCATCGTCCCTCGTTCGTGACCAACAATAACCATCATCGGCATAAACATTTTATATTCCACGAAACGTTCACTCCAACATCATCGTAATACAAAAGACCCATTTCACGATAATTTCTATTGTTTTAGTTTAATTCCAATTGAGTCTGATAGGTTAGAATCAAAGAAGTGGTAGGTCTTTTTTTTTTTTTTTTTCACCCGACATGCTTATTTACCTGGATGATGAATATTACGATTGGATCATTTGCATTGTAAGTAGCTGGATTGAGTCCAGTGATGACACCACCTTGTTCTTGCACCATGATTGGAAGCTTTTACGGTTGGAAAGTATACGGTTTTTTTTTGTTCCTTCGAGCTGTAAGGGAGAAAAACGGTAGATTATTACAACTGTTAGCCTTTTTCTTCTACTTTTCTCTTCTTTGCAAACAAGTCTATAATATCCAAAACTAAACTTACGTGTGTAGGTTATGTAGAGAATATCATCAATATTAGAGAAAAGAAAGAGGGGAAAGTCTCGGAATAAAAAGTTGTATTATACAACAATCATATAAAAAAGACCTCGAGGTAGAGTTTCGTGATCTAAATTTCGCCGCTTTAAATATCTATCGGGAAATACAATGCCCCCGTGTATAGTTAAATTGACGGGGATCTTCCTTTCCATAGGGGAAGGGGGGGGTCCGATCATAAAATTTTTACGTAAATCGATTTATTTCCAGTTAATTATTGTTCCCTGATTTATTGTACTCAAAATAGACGGCATTATCACGAGACACAAGAATGCACGTGCAACATCCCCAGCCCGCTATATGATTGTGCCAAGTGGGGCAGTTACCCAGAAAAATTGCAACAAAAAATGGTATTGTTTGATTGTGTATCACCAAAACCACATAATATTTTTGGTCTATCATTCGACAAGCGATTGCATGTCTCTTTGTTTGCCTTAATGGATAATTGTAAATTGCAACATTAAGCAAGGAAGGTGGACGCACATGATAGAAAGGATTATTATTATACTTGCTATTATTATCGTCATCCTTATTATTTTTATTCACATTCCATATCATGCAGGTCCGAAAATGGAAGGTAATTGTAGATACTACCATGTGTAACTCATTACCCTAGTCTATGGAAATCATTTCTGGTTGGGAATAAGGAAATAAATCTAGATCTCTCTTTACACAGGACAAACAAAGAAAAAAAGAGATAGTAAAAGCCTATCTGTTTCTATCTTTCCCACCACTATACAAAATGAGAACTTAAAATACAATGTTTCTCCGAATGATTGGCGCCATGCCATTCTCGACAGGATGATTAACTGGATTGGGCGTACACCCTAATATTATCTTACCAATGATCTCTGGTTGCTAAGACAAGGGAGACCCCAGCGAATGTGACGATCACAATGCCCAACCGGTCTGTTGACAGGATAGAAGCATGAGGATACGGGACAAATGCTGTAACACAATAATCGAGTTAATAATGTCACAGTGTCGAACATTTTTTTTTTCCTCATAGTCAATGAAATTAAGGTAACGATAATTGACCAATGCTATTCGATCAATGACGTCGTAGCGCATTTGGCTTTTCGAACAATGTTTGTGTTAATTGATTACACCCCGAAACACTTTTCAGGAGAACTGGCTTATTAATTATTCCTCATTCCCGAATTGGTAATTAAACTGGGAATTGCAAAAACGGTAATTCCGATAATAATAACAAGCACACCCATTATTAAAAACCCCTTACGTAAATCTTTTGATATGATCATATTAGTCCTAGTCCCGAAGGGAAAGGACAGGTCCGTGAACAGTATTCACAATGAGGTGCGGACTTTGATTTTCCATTTGTGCTTCTTGTTTTTGTAATGCGAAGCACAAATTTATTGATTACGTGATGTTGAGATTTTAATGGTGTATCAAACAAAGCGTCAAGTGAACATCGCGTAATTATCTGTCTGTTCTCGAAAGAATCTGATTGCATACCAGTTATTTCGTGGCTGGGATACCCAGACCCAAACACTGATGCTAGATCAGATGGATTCGAAAAAAGTCGTCATGGGATTGGATTGCGATTGGCCAAGGGATACAGCGTACAACGATAAAAAAAAACCAACGGGTATTGGTATCATTGTTTTGTATCAATTGAAAATGTTTCTCATCAATAAAATGACTCGTGTACAAATGAACATGCCACCAGACAACTAGTTTAACGATACAACTTGTGAAAGAAACGATTAGCAAGTTTCTAATATCGAATGATTCCAATCAACGATGACATTCTTTTTTCTGCAAGTGAACTTTGTTTGCGGGTTACGCAATCATCTTCGGATGATATGACGGTGTACACGTGCCTGTGATACACACCCCATTTTATGATATGACAAGCGTCGATGGTTAGTTAATCCCAAATTGCAAAAGAACATAATAATAAAACTCGCTCTACAAAAATACCAACGATTGAAACCCAAATTAAAGTCTTTCTAACATTCAATTATCGACAAGTCCATGGTGTTAATGAATGACGAAATACCATCATTGCTGGTACAATGCGCTCCGGAGAGGAGGCGAATGTGCAATCAGGTCGTGAATCATGAAACAATTGCACATCCATCCAAATCGGTTGATTGTTATAGCATGTTTTATTATTGCTGTTCCTGCATACAGAAAGGACCCGTTCCAAAGCAAATTGTCAATCGTTCAGGCATTTATTTTTAGCAAATATTTTGACCGGTGAAACATTATGAAAACGATAGAACGTCTGTATGGATTAATGTTTGCATAAATTCCTTTGTCATGCAGCTCAAATGTACGTATTACAATCCCATATTAATATCTTTTATATAGTTTAAGGGCGGAGTCTTTCCTCTTTGGACAATAATCACGTTATCGATCTTGTGCAATACAGTTCGATAATGCTCGACTGCCCCTCCCACCCACCACCCCCATCCCACTCACCCATTTCACCCATCTCACCCATCTCACTCACCTCGCTACCATTAGATAAACAAATATACTAGCAATAGTCAACATATACGCGATAACATTTTAGCAGGCCATTTTACATGGTTGGCAAAAATCAAAATACGTGTAATTGACCATATCCTACGATTGTGTACGAAACACCAATTTTCGTAGCGTGCTCGTAGTGCTCAGTGTTAACTAGTTACTTGTAATAAAATGTCTGGTGTTTAATGTCGAAATAAAACCGGAAGCATAAGTTTGTATGACATATAAACGCGAAAAGCACTCTTGTTGAAAAAGAAACGCTGCCTATTATGTCAAGTATCCAGGATCGCTTCACAATCAAAAGTTAACCAACTAACACCATATTACAGCACTAGTTCAACGCATGCATTGTCTTATGTCTGCTCAAATATAAGAACTTGGAGATTGTTTACACGTTATCTTGAAAGAACAATACGCAGAGTAGACGCCTGCCGATGCAAAGTAGATTGGCAAGTATTTGGGTACGTTACTGTCATAATTTTGTATTGACTTTAAAATAAGTAACACTATGAACAATACATACTATATCATTAATTATTAGCCAACGCTAATGGATGATCTTGCAATGAATGTATTAGCTACATCAGAAAGACGTTAATACAACCCGGGATAACAAGATATCTTTACGTCACAGAGTCTAAGCTGTGCGGCTGTGTGGCGGGCCGTAACTCCACTTTGGTCAATTAATATTTGTTATAATGTGGCGTCATTGACAGTATTCTTTATTTTAATTTATAGTGAAACTAGGGTAAATTACCAAAGACCACTAATTTTGCTAGTGATAATAACCCAAAGAAAATATATTAATATTACAAATGGTTGATAAAATACACGATTACCCATATAATTTCAGTCATATATGTACGTGTATCTAATCTAGTCTAAAAAGGTGTTTCGAAACTGTAACTCTAGTCGATAAACGCTCTGTACATTTAAGAAATTAGAAAAGGGAAGACTGTTCAATAGATTGGATGTAAATGCAGGTATGTGGAAACCTGCGTTATCGGAAACAACCCATATCAACAAAGTTTCGCTGGCGATATCACATCAGTTTAAAGATTTACTTTGTAGATAATATCGTATCGGTTAAAGGACTTATTTCACAGAAATGTAATGTTAAAATCTCAGGGAGTCCCGTCTCATTGTATGCGCACTATGAGACCTCAACCAAATCCGCTTCCGCACTCACCGAACTATGATACTACCTTTGAATCCTCATCTCAACAAGCGTTTATCGATAACGAGAAAGAGGTGGTGGATGTGATTCTACTATTAATAAAATATTTTCTATGTTAAAAAGAGCGAATACTCCCAAATATACAATCTCGACTATCTACTGTGCATTGTGAGTGGTTGTTTATTGTTTAGAATAGTGTTTAACTTTGAGAAATAGTCAGTTTAGCGTCATGACTAGGACGAGAATCAAGAAAATAAGAGTCGGTTCGTAGGAATCCTTTGAGGATAGTTTAAACTACGTCCACAAGTATTAAAAATACGCCACTTACAGTGTGTTAAGAAAAAAATGGTGGTCAATAAAAATTCGTTTTTTTTTTTGTAATACATAAAAAAATACGCGTTGTTAATAATAATTGTACTACAAATACGATTAATTCGATATCCAGTTAATATGTTTTCATAAGCACAACTTTTTGTTTATACACTTTTTTTTGTTTATTGGATGGTTTCAGCAACTGCCTGAACAGCCTTTGCCAAATTTTCGACTATATCAAAAATTTTTTCCTTCAGTTGTTTCTTTGTTCGAGGGAATAAGCAAAAACCACAAGGAATACAGTCTCGATTGTATGGCAAGTAGGGAGAAAGTTTTATAAAGATATTTCGTCATAATAGTTGCTTTATGTGGCGCAGTATTGTCGTAATGTCAGGAACAGTTGTACTTTCCTTTATTCTGGAGGCTCAGCTCACTATGCAAATGTAGGAGATTTTTTCAGGAGAAATACTGGTTTAGTTGGCTAAA